CCAAAGCAGAAGAGTATACCTTTAGTATTCCACAGTCACTAGTGAACTAGCCTTACAGCTATTTCCGATGAAACCGGGTTTTTGCACACCCGGGTTGGTCGTTCAGAAAAAAGCCGATTGAAATACTTTTGGCCTCTTTTGGGAAACTGATTTTTTTGAGTATGTTAGGAAATGTTGTCTGCATGAAAACATAAAGGCAATGCTAGGGTCCTAACCCAAACCCAAGTGTACCCAAAATCTAGGAACCTTGGGAAAAGAGTTGCGCTAGATTTTTTAACTAATTTCGATGTTCCCTCCAGGTAACAAACATTGGGTGTGTTAATGGAAAACATTTCCCCAGATATTGCATTAGTTTATTGCGTAAGACTCCCGGGGAACAGTTAGCAAAAAGCTTTTAAAAAGAACGCATTATCTGCGGATACCCCCCCTAAGTCCTAGTAACAAAAATGGGGGGTGAATTCGTAATAAAATTCTTGAAAATTTTGTACCTTGTACGATCTCAAAATCCCCATGTTCCTCTCACCTCCCCAGAATGGGATGCGGAAGAACCAATAAAAAAGTACTTGATTCTTGAGAGCACTTCAATCCCAACAGTGAAACTTGGGTTGAAGTTATCCCTTGTCATGTGTTTTAAAAATTTGCTTAAAAGGGTTTCTATAGGTACATCCCATTTGCTTTGTATGGTGTAGATAAACGTTTGCCTTATGAGTTTTTTTAATCCGAAACCAAATTAAAACCCCCTGATGTTTTTTCGTGCAACCGCCGTTAGCTCAAAGTGTTTTTAGGAACCCGGAAAACTTCAAAATCAACAGCTAAATTTAAAGAGTCGCAAATACCGATTAAACCCACCCAAAATCAAAGGGTTCGAGAGTTATGCTGACTTTTTTAAAAAAACGTCTGCAATCCCCAAAGCTTTCAAAGTTGTTGGTCCTTATCGCGTAGTTTAAAATTCACGGTATAAGTTAAGGTTTGAGAGTTAGTGCTGTCAGTAAAAGAATCGCATTTGGATCTTAAGTTGTATGTATGATAATATGTTCCCCCCAGACTAAGTGACAGACCTGACAATCCCCGCCTGTACCTCTTCCCCTAAATTTCGTCAGATGATAAACCGATGTCGTTTTCCCCCTACGTACACGACGGGTATTGAGAAATCCTAAAGTTCATTGTAACTTCCAAATTCAGTTTTGCCTCAATCAGCTGAGTTAGCCAAGCTACAGAGTTTGATCCCCCCGAGATGACCCCTTTCTGCAATCCCAAAATCTTACCCTGCAGAGTTGGGGTTAAATGAAAAAACCCCTTTAAAATGAAAAATTTCATATCAATTTAAATCATTTTAAAGAATTTTTTTTTTTTTTGTGTTCTGTTCTCCCCCATTCTGAGAGTTAAAAGTCTAATTTTCGTGCACCGAATCTGCCTTTTGTTAAACACTCTTTTTGTATATTTTCTTCCCCGAATCCCTAGATCCATGAAAAAGATGTTTTGATCAAAATTTTTTTTTTTTTTATCACTTGTAATTAACGTTAGTTTGTGTTCATTTTTTGAGTTTTAAGTTGTACTATAGTATACCTTTTATTGATTACAGTTTCAGTTTCTAAAAATTTCATTCCATGTTCTACTTATTATCTTAATTTTTGTTTTGTACTTTGACTTGTATAGAACACCAAACCGTATACCCCGCCATCTCTAGTTTGTATTAGTTGTATGTCGGGCGACATACGTTAGCGTCGCCCCAGTCTCATAGTAGAAAAACCCTTCCAGTTCAGTGTTAACCCGTTACCAGTAAACCCTTTCCCTTGACTCAAAAGACCAAGTCTTGGTCACGGTTGTGCTGACTGACACTATTTTAAAAGACCCACTACGGGGGGATGGCCCGCCGGGTAGTCATTTTACGAGTGTAACCAAGGAAACAGGTAACGGGGGCGGGCTCCCCCCAAATAACGCAATTAAAGTAATAACAGCCACGTGAGATTTTACCCTAATCCCCGTATCGAACTCCCACTGAAACTTGTTTGAAACCATATTACCCATGCCCTTTTTAAATCTAAAATTTATCCAATTAAATCCTTATTCCTGGTTCTTTCCCGGTTCGACCCCTCAGTACTTTTTTAATGTCTCCCTTGTTTTTGCCGTCATCCCCTTATACACTTCAATGATATCTCCCCTCATTTACGCCTCTCCAGAGAGTGGAGTTTAAAGGCTTTAAGTCTATTTTAACGGGGGGGTTCCTTACACAGTAAATCATTTTGTCATTCTTCTCTGTATGTTTTCTAATGAGTCTATTCCCCCTGTAATAAGGGGAAACCCAAAAATGAGCAGGTAATTTAAAAGGGCCCCTAGTGATGTAAGAGTGTAAAAAATTTTGGACTTCTGTTTTATTCTTTTGAGATAAATCCAAGTAAACTGTTTGGGCCCTTTTTGCGCAAATGAGGGGACTGCTGTTTTGGGCTTTAGATTTCTGTTATGACTCCCAAGGGGGTTTTTAATTGTTTTCGCCTTTTCCCTTTATGTTAGGAGGTTATTTTCATTCCAAAGGGGAAGTACCTTCACCCTTACCAATTTTAACTTCATTTTTTATCCAAAAGACATTATTTTTAAATGTCCGGGGTTCATTTTTAATCCTCCTGGGTGTTTTTTCGGCCTTCTTTGTTTACACAAACTTACTCATGTCACTAGTAATCCCCTTTATCAAGGTCCTTAATTTAAAATTTTGAACAAAAGAGGGCCCAAAACTGATCCTTGTGGAACGCCATAGTGACTAAAACCCCCTTCAGATTACTCCTTAATGGAACTCTCTGCTTCTATTGTAACCCCATGCCTCAATCCTGTAGAACTTTACCCCCTAAACCATGACTGCCACTTTTCTTAAGATCTCTTG